TACAGAAATGTGAATAAAGTATGGGCTTTACTTCATCATAATGTATCAATATCAGTTCATAAGTCATGACAAATCTTCCACATTAATGTTAGCAATGTGAGACACCAGGAGTGGGGTATATGGGAACTCTCTAATATAGTCACAACTTTTTCTGCAAGTCTAAAATTTACAGAACATAAAGTAAAATGAAATTGAAAGTTTATTTTGAAAAATAGTCACCCCCACCCCAACCCCCCGCCCCCGGCCACTTCTTTTCTATCTCCTGACCCAATGTCTCCCAACATACTGGTCTGCACCGCCCTGGTCGCGGGAGACATTGCGGTGGTACAAACAGGCAGCCTGGACAGCTCTCTCTGAATTCAATGTGGTAGATCTTGCTTGTTGGCATGAAGAGTTGAATACCATTTCTGGTTTTCTGGCACCCTTATTTCTTGGCTTATCTAGTTTCTGGGGGCTTATCTAAGGCATTTTTATTGGCTGTAATGTGTCTGAGAAATAGTTCGTTTGCAGCCCGGAGGAGTCTTGTGCATTGGTGTCTTGCCGCTGGAGGAGTCAGACTCTGCACTGCTGGGGCAGGAACACGTTGCCCTCTGCGTGAGGATGGCCGAGTCTTCCAGGGGCTGTCACATGCAATTCCGATGGGGCTTATGTCTTCCTGAAGGCATCCTGGGTAGCCCTCCTCTGCTTCCTTGTGCTTCTTCACCATTTATCTCCTTGAATGTGATAAAACCTCTGTTTCATCTTCTGGACCATGATTCCCATCTCCTTTTACTCTAATCTTTACTTTCAAATACTCTCCTAAGGATAGATTTGCAAGGATTGATTATATGGCTCTATGGGGTGCCTAGAGAAGCAGCACTTAAAATGTTTAGAATAAGAAGCTGGTAACAAGGCGTTTTGTCCCGGGAAGAGTCTCTTGAATGGCCCTTCATAGGTAAAAGAGGTTACATAGAGTTCCAGGGTAAGGGTGGGGGTGGCTATTTTTCAAAATAAACTTTCAATTTTATTTTACCTTATGTTCTGTAAATTTTAGACTTGCAGAAAAAGTTGTGACTATATTAGAGAGTTCCCATATACCCCACTCCTGGTGTCTCACATTGCTAACATTAATGTGGAAGATTTGTCATGACTTATGAACTGATATTGATACATTATGATGAAGTAAAGCCCATACTTTATTCACATTTCTGTAGTGATTACCTAATGTATAGTATCAGATTAGTTATCCAAAGTACAAAATAAATATTCCTAAGTCTATACTACAGCTCTGTGCAGATTAGCAGAAGGCCCCCTTTCTAGGCAGCAGCTAGCGGCCCCTCTAGCTACAATCCTGCAGACAAAATCTGATGGGGAAATTAGGCCTGGATTTGAGGTCCCAAACATACCTTCAGCCAGGGAGCCTTGTGCAGTAGACAATATACACAACTATTCATTGTGACCCTGAAACGTACTCTACATAGTAACCCATTGGGGGGGAAAAGTGTTCAGGATAATCACTTCTTATGTGGGTACCTGGAGACAGGGTGCAAATTGTCCTGGGAGTCCTCTGGGAGAAATGAGTTAAGACCTGCCCCAAGTGGCGTGCTGGACTTGGATCCTATTGGTTCATGAGATTCAATTATTAATTTTTCAAGAATCTTATGAATTTTATTAAACATAGTAGTTATTAAAAAAGTATACAAACTTACCATTAAATTATATTGATACAAATGTAGTGAAAACTCCAAATTCATTACTTCCTAACTATTTGTTATGCTTTCCTATTGTCTATGCTCTTGAAATTATTTACATCCATTGTATCTGTATGGTGGAGATACCACATACTAGTGTACTACTGCTCACCTTTTCCCGACTCCGTGTTCAGTGACGTCATGTCAACAGCTTGAAATTAACCGTGGTGAGAGTATTTATACCATGGAAATCAGCAAATGCTACAGATCAGCTCCCACTCCCCCAGAAAAGGGAAAAGCAGGGGAGATGGGCTGGGACCCACAAATGTTCGGGCTGAGCCTGCATGAAGAGAACCATCTGGGACTCCCGGAGCTCCTGAGAGGAACTAGGAGGAGGCTGGAGCTCCCAAGTTGGCCGGGTACTCCCTCTGCTCCTCAGGGGAACATCAGCTTCTGTCGTGGTTCACTTGGGCAAGCGCCCCAAGGTCTATGTTACCCACCTGTCCAGGTGACTCGGGCTGGGTGAGCAGTGTTATGGAACCCAATCAGGGACTGGCACTGAATTTCATGGGGAAACCACATGCACCCATGGGACCTGCTCCTTCTGATGCAGCCCTGCAGGTGGGGTTCAGACCCCTCCCCATCTATCCAAACATCTGCGGAGGAGCTGTGGCTCGGGAGAAGGGGGAGGTGTGGGGGGGACAGGGCTGCTCAGTGGCAGGGTGACAAGGTAGTGTTGCTCTCCCCTCTCTCTTCCTTCTTTGTCTTCTCTTTCTCCCCTGGGCCCCCTCCACAGGCAGGCCCTGCCCTCTGACGGCTTGGGGACCAGGGGGCTTGTGGAATGGTGAGGTGGGACCTGTGCAGGGCAGGGGTGTGTAGAGAGGAAAAGGAGGAAATTCCTTGCCTGCCATGGGGTGGAACACTCCTGGGACAGACCAGACTAGAGCTCTCCTGAGGGAGCCCTCACTCAAGCACACAAAAACAGGCCTCTGCTTGTGAGTGGTGAGATAGAGGTACCTTTTGCCTTACTCAGTGAAGTTTTGGGGAAAACACTCATGGACCTGAGCTAGCGTGGCAAAGGGCTCAGACATTAGAGTCAGAAGAACGTGGGTTTGAATTCCAGCATTTCCCGTGTGAGACCTTGACCAAATAAATGACTTGGCTTCTCGGTCTGGCTCAGCCTGTTTCCTAGCCTGTGGAATAACCCTCCTGCTCTTCTCTGTGTGAGGGATGGCCTTCAACAATCTCAAACAGTGGCTGTGTTAATAGATCTCCTTTCATTCTGTTGGTTTGTTTCTCTATGCTTACTGTGAGCTTAGATCCCAAGAACTGGTCGTCTTGTTTCTGTTGTTGAAAGCAAAGGCCCGCTTTGGCAGCACATAAGTGAACGTGAGTATGATCTGTCACTGAACTTCGCTCTAGAAAACCTTTTTATGTGTTGAAGCTCATAACGACAACAGTGACTGTTAGATAAACCTGTGTGTGGAGGACACAGATGTTAGCATCTCAATATGTCAGTCACCATTTTATAGCCCCTAGAAAGACACCCCATGATCTATGCCGTGATACTGCGAGTTTGGCCTATTTGCTGTATGTCGATTACACCACCAAGTCAATTGCCAAGGCCCAAACCTGATCATGTTTCTCACTCACTTAAACATCTCCAGGGACTCCCCCACCCCGCCCCACCCGCCATTGCCCAAAGGACTGAGCCCATGCTTGGCAGGCAAAAACCACTGTTAATGTGATCCAAACATACTTTTCAACGGCTTCGTGGCCTGCCTCCCCACCCTCTCCTTCCCTTCACTGCATCTATGCCCAGGAGAATGGATTCCACCACTTTCTGAACATATCCTGCTCCCTCATGCTTCTGAGCCTCTGCTTTTGCCCTTCTTACTTTGTTTCCCTGGAGAACTTTTATACATTCGTCAAAACCCGGCAGAGCGGCATCTCTGTGAAGCATTCCCCAATTCCTTCAGGCAGAGCTGTGTATGCCTTCTTTCTGCTCATGCGCAGAGAGCCGTGCCTATGTTAACGTGTCTGCATTCATTTACTTACAGCGTTCTGTTGAATACGGACTCAGGAGTCTACGTGACTGGCCTGGGAATGAACTCTTTGGTTTCCTCAACTGATAAATGGAGTAATATTAACCTCATAGGGCTGTTGAGAGGATTAAACATGAAAGTGTGCAACTGAGCAGCGCCAGACACAAATAATCACCCAGTGAATGATAACTGGAATGATTGGATCAAATTGCCCATGTTCTCTTGACAGACCCCTCTATGTCTAGGAACACATGGCTAGGAGACAAACATTCTGAACAGAGATTCTATTGGTGTGGGACCAGTCCATTTGAGAGTCAGCCCACTGACCTTGATCCTGTTGGCACTATGCCCAGCCTAATTGTATCTGAAGATCAGATGTAAGAATCAAGTGGGTTAAAGGTGTAGGGCGGCAAGAAGAACCATTTATACCAGGTAGCAGGTTAGTGAGTTTTACCCCTAGTTACATTTCACATGGGCACCTCAGTTGTTTCCTTGCTACTATTCTTGATTGCTGTCTTTGGTGATTATTAATAAAGGTTATTATTTGCATTTCCCACATATGTTGGAATTTCACAAGTCTTATATTTCCAGGACAAGAGCCAAAACTAATCAACCCAGTCTTTGGAAAAGCAGCTGATGGGGGCATACCCCACTTTAATTACCACTGAGGATTTGAAATTGAACACACAGAAGGAAAAAAAAAATTTTAAGATTTTATTTATTTATTTATTTGAGAGAGAGAGAGACAGAGTGCGTGCGTGCGTGCACGAGCAGGGGGTGGGGAGGGGCAGAGGGAGAGGGAGAAACAGACTCCCCACTGAGCAGGGAGCCCGATATGGGGTTCGATCCCAGGACCCCAAGATCATGACCTGAGCCCAAGACAGACGCTTCACTGACTGAGCCACCCAGGTGCCCCCACAGAAGGAAAATTGATCAACTGGTTAATTTTATCTTCCCTGTACCTTAACCATTCAGTCTTTACCCACCTCTATGTGATACATATTCTTCTGAATGTTTTATTACAAGTGTAGTTTCTTTCATCAACGGCTAATTTCATTTGTGGTCAGAAAGCATTCAGTTCTCCACGCTAAAGGAAAGCCAAAAGGCAGCTCAGGTACCTGCTAAACCAGCATTCAGGGTGACCTGCCCAAGTGTTTTGAGGCTGTTGCCTTTCACCTAAACAGCTTGGCCCAGCTACAGTATTCAAGCTGCCAAAAAAATAAGCCAGGACTCTTCAGTACTTTATGTGCTGGAGTCACATTTACAAATCTGGTTCGAAATGGGCTCTTGACAAAGGTGGCTCCTCCCTGGGCTCCCACTCTTCTGGCTCGGTTCAGTGCAAGAGGGCCACCAGCAGCTTCTGGAAGTCCCCAGAGGTGTCTGAGCGAACCATGTCAGACAGAGACTTCTGATACTTCTCTTGGAACTTTGCTTTTATCCCCTGAAGGTCCACCTGTAGGAGAAATGGCAACAGCAATGAGGACAAGAACATTTATAGCGTGTTCACTATGAATGCAGGCAGGTACTGTTCTGAATAAATTGTACTCATTTGCTCACTTATACCTCAAAACAACCCTTTGCAGTAGGGGCTATTATTATTTTTATTTTATTTTATGAATGGGAAATGGAGAGCAGAGTCCAGTCTGCTGGAATATATTCACCTCTGCAACCTTTAGGGATATATATATATAATATATATATAATATATATATTATATATATATTATATATATATTATATATATATATTATATATATAATATATTTATATACCAATACAAATTTATTTATGAATACCAAAACTTGAATTTCATTTTATTTTTATGTATTACAAAATATTTTCCTTTGAGTTTTTTACAGTCATTTAAAAACGAATCATTCTCAGGTAGCAATCCCGTACAAAAACAGGTCAGTCTGCAGGCCACAATTTGCTGACCTGTGGTAAAGGGTTAAGAAAATTATCAACACAGAGATTTGAATTTGAAATGAAGCTTTTTTTTTTCTCTTGTACCCTGATCAGCAAGGCTATTAGTACCAATCAACAAAATTCAAATTAATATCAATTTATAGGACTTATTTTGAATCTAATTCATTGATAGCTTGAAAAACCTGGGCGCTGGAGATGGGCAAGAGGACTCAGAAGAAAAACAAATAAAAAGATTGTTCTGCTCCAAACACTCTTAGAACCTAGTAAGGGAGACAATACTTGCACCAGAAAAGATGGAAGTACAGAGAGAACAGTGTGTCTCATAAAAGCAGCACAGAGCTTTCTTTAACAGGGAGTTGTGTTCTTTTTTTAATTTTTAAAAATTTAGACTCTATCATGCATTCTAGACAGATTCACAAACTATCACTTAGGTTTCTGGTTCTTTTTCCTCCTGCCTCAATCGGAGGAATGAACTAAGAGAGAAAGAAGATGAGAGCAGAAGGCAGGAGAATGAAGGATTGTGTGAAGTGGATGCTGAGCAGGAGGAGACTCCAGCATGATGCTGTGTGTCCCCTGCCCCCCAATCTGGCTCCTTTACTTGGCTGGGGGAGGGGCAGGTTGGTGGGAGTCGGGGGGGTTGGGTGGGATGGGGGACACTGGGGCTCCATTCTAGTACCAAGCGGCTTTAGGGGATTAGGGGATCCAGCCAGTATGTCTCACTGGGCCTGAAGCATTCTGAAGGAATGATCCATATGTGGAAATGATCCAGGATATGTGGCCAATCCTAAGATGGGACAGAGCATCTTGGAATGATCATTCCATGGCTCACGTTGCAGTGAACGTGGAGCCCCCGTGAGCCCTCCAGAGTGATCCAATCCCCTGGGGTCTTTCAGAATCCCTGCCCTGCTCCATTGCGCCCCTCCTTCTTTGAGCCTCAGGATCTCAGAGACTTTGTGGGGTCGGTTGGAGGGTGAGTTGCTTAGGGACAGAGAGAGAGAGACCACGGAGATCTGGAGAGAGAGGGGAAAAGAAAGAGAGACTTAGGAGAGTGGTAGAGAGACTAGGGAAGGGAAGGAGGGGGGATCAAGACAAATGGACTGGAAGCTAGAAGAAAACTGAATAGTGGAGGAGGAGGAGAAATTCCAGGAATAGAAATAAAAATGAAAGAACGATCTTGTTGCTAAGTTATATTTTAAAACGGTGTCAGATGTTAAGTATTATTTGTCAAAAGCCATGGGCCAGGATTTGGGTTGGGATTTATCCCCCTTCAATTAACAATTTTTTGAGGGAAGATGTCTGTGGTTTTTCAAGGGCTCAGTTACACTTCATTCTGTAAGGCTTCTCGTACTGTAGACGAAATGCCATGTCCCCTTCATTTTGTCCTGCCTTCACTCTGTGGCCCCTTGTTGCAAAGCCTCCACCGGGAATCCTGACAGTTGCTCTCAAGCTTTGGGCTACTCACTCTCTTTCTTACACTCAGGCATTCTCAAGGTGGGGTGATATCGCTCGCTACTCCCAACAGGGCAAAAGTGCGTTCTTAAGAGGGCGAAAAGAACCTTAATCCTTTTATGTAAAAGTACATATATACACGCATGCATACATAGAGAGAACATAACGGAATAAAGGAGGGCACTTGATGTAATGAGCACTGGGTGTTATATGCAACTGATGAATCACTAAGCTCTCCCTCTGAAACTAGTAATACACTCTATGTTAATTAATTGATTTTAAATTAAAAAAGAACATAACAGAATATATGTGTATTTACAGAACACAATATATACATACAGAACATTGCAGAATATGAAACAGATACACAGTCTATCTGTGGTGTTGATGTTTTGGCGGGGAGTGGTGATGAGGAAAAAACTGGGTCCCAAAAGGCTTCTTAGTAGGATGAGTGATAACTATTATTATATTTTAAATTTTATTTTATTATGTTATGTTAGTCACCATACAATACATCATTAGTTTTTGATGTAGTGATCCACGCTTCATTGTATCAAAAACTGATGATGTATTGTATGAATGATAATTAAAAAAAAAAAAGAGTTTGAGAAATACTGTCTTGTACTGATGTAGCTCAGTGTGTTCTGAGCTGGTGTGATCAGTGACAGGCCCAGCTGGGGAGGTAGGCTGTCATTTGCTCATCGACTCCGCTGCTGGGTGACCTGGTTTCGTGTTCCTTAAAATGGAGCCAAGCCTGGCTGTGCCACCCAGAACGGCTCAGCCAGGTCCCCTCTGCACGGGCCACCAGCTCTCCGGAGCCGCAGAGAGCAAAAATAGAAGCAACTATCGTTATTGTATTTTTATAAAAAGAAACAGATTGAAGCATGGCACAGTGTCTTCCACAAAGTCTGGGAAGGCAAGGGCTGTCTCTGTGTTACTTTTTCCGTAAATAGACCCTGAAGAAAGACTATTTGTGGATGACATCAGCTGTGGCCAAAAGAGAAGTGGCTGCCCACGTGCTCAGAGTCGAGGGCGTCTTACCTCAGCCCTGGTCACGATGATGTGAATGAGTGTCTCCTCATCGGTTCCTGCACCCTTCATGGACTTGTACAGACGGTCAGCGAAATAGCCCTCCTGGTCCCGGGCGCACCTCACTGGCCGGGACGAGGGACAAGAGAAGGTGAGGCTTTTACATGTTGCATAACATGCAGACCCTCTGAAGGCACAGAGCTGGCCCAGAGTGTCACCTGGTTGCCCTTGGTGCTGACTCAATGGTGAGACACATGTTTGAAAGGGGCTGACCTCCCACTCTAATGGGATCTGGAAGATTCCCCTGGTTCAGGGCATCTGGGCTCCTCAACCAAGAACTGAGTCAAAACCCCTTCAGCATCCCCTCTGCTGGTCCCTGAAGACCCTTCAGAGGAGGAAGAAGGCTTTCCCTGCCGAGTTCATGATTCTTACCAGCAGAAGTAACTTTTCTTATCTAAATGAAATCTCTGATGCTGGCGCTGGGCTCAGAGGGGAAACACGGGTTGGCTGATGATGCTGCTATAATAAAACTTCCTAATCTTGAAGACTCACTCCCCTGGACCGTGGCCTACTTTCCTGTGCTAAACCACCTCCCCGTCCTTTGTTTTTCCTCGCTGGGTTTGCTTTGTGAGTCTCATCTCGGAATCTTTTCTAAGTGCCCCACATTCTTCTTGATTCTCCATCTGGGATGCGGCGGATGGAATGTTTAATGCTGTCTACGGACCACCTTCCTGTGTTCCTGCTCGTTGCTCTTTTCTGCCCCGCTCCTTGCCTGCCAGCTTTGATCTAATGCACAGATTCGTGAAAAATAGTTTTGATTCACCCGTCAGGCTGAAGAGTGCCGGTCTACTCCTGGGGAGAAATCATTGCTCCTCTCCCCACTTCCCAGGTGGCCCATTGTGACAAACATTTTGGGGGAATGAACCAAATACTCTTTAGGCGTTGACATTTACCTAGAACACCTCACATTTTTGATGTTAGTGATTAATAACAAGTAATCCATTGAGCATAAGTGTGAAATGTGCGTCTTTAATATGTCCTGTAATGGGAACTCTTGTTGTCTAGGTAATTGCCTCTATGACTGATGCTTATGAGCACTGGAGAGGAACAGGGTGAGGGAAGGAGTGCCTAGGTTGGGGGAGGAGGGGGTCTCTTTCTTTTTTTTATAGGCCGTGTGGAATCTGCCAGAGTTTCAGTGGAAAAGAAAAGCCCAACTTGTGTCTGACCTCCTTATCCTGGAAACAATCCAAAAGCTGTTGGATCGGTGGCGGTTGTGGGGAGAACCTGTCAATTTGGGGAGCAGCATACTTGAGCCTCACTTAAGACCTTCCCTGGTGCAGGACTCATTGATGCTCATCGATTGTCTGCCTAACGTAAGGGTGTTCCAACCCTTCATAGGTGTCTTCCACCCTGACATTTCTTCTTCCTGATGTTCTGGGAAGAGAATCCTCAACGTTTCTGTTGTATACCATCGATGCCTGGTGAACAACGTCTGTTGTTAGCAGCAGCAGGAATCGCTCAGGAGTGTGGTTGGGGCTAGCCAGGGAAAACGTGGGGCTAGAGCCGTGCCATGTAGAAGGCAGGGTAGCCAGCCATTGCGAGGAGAAGACAGTCCCTTGGGGGAGTTTGTAGAAGTGTGGCTTCTGGGCCCCATTCTTGGAGATTCTAATAGGTAACCTGGAATGGGGCCCAGGAAACTGTATTTTCCCGCACCTCCCCATAGAAGACTCTGAAGCAGGTGGTCCGTGGGGCCCACTGGAGGAGTGTTGCCCCAGAGGCTGCAAGAGGTGGGAGTCAATGGGTCTCAAATTTAGCCATAAACTGGCATCTTTATGAGTCAGGTATGAAGAGGGTGGGGAGTGTCTAGAAAAGAGAACTGTGAAGTCATGTTCTACAATTTGTGTGCTTTATACTTGAGGTCGTCTCTAATCACTTCTAAGTTTGCTACCACTGGAGTGCACCGAAGTCCTGCATTTCATTGTCCCCATCTCCAGGGATGTGGCCTTTCCTTCCCCTGTGCCCTCTTCACACTGGTGGTTTTTGTTTTTATCTTTACTGTAACCTAATCTGTTGGTTTGTGAGTATCCACCATGGACTTTAAGCTTCTTAAGAGCAGGAACTGGACCTATTTACCTCTGATCGCCACACCTAACACGACCCCCAGCCTGGGTTAGGTGCTAACTAAATGTTAAAGAATGGAATGGCTTTATTATTATTAATAATTTTGATAGTGGTTTATTGCCATTAATATTAATATTAATGAAGATTAATATAATCTTCTGACTGAACTCTGGTTCAAGCACAGAAAGGATTTGGAGCCTCTGAGTCAGGCCGTGAGTGGACCTCGCCATCCACTTAAGAGACTCATCTTTGAAGCCCTAAGGACAGTCATCCATGTGGGTCCAGTGTGGGTCAGAAGTGACACTAGGCATGTTTAGGCCTCTGTACATCGGAGGTCCTGCTAATGTGAATGCAAAATGAGGATGGATTAAAAAAAGTCAATTGCTGACATTGTTCAAAAAAAATTTTTTTTAAGCCCCACAAAAAAACAAAAGGTTTGGCAGATAGAGCACATTTTTTAACTTCCAGGGCTGCTTTTTCAGTTCTTCCTCTGCTGGGGATCTGTCTTTCCATTTCTTGTGCTATTTGGGACGGTGCCCTCGACTCCTCGCCACAGGAGCGTGGACAATGGACAATACCTTCATTCCAGGCCTTGCAGAAAGGAAAAAGGAGCCTGCCAGACACAGCGCCATGCCCATCTTTCTGCTATTTCCTGCCTATGGGCAACACCTGGAGAGAAGGTTGTGGTGTTTGCTTGGCACAGGAAAGATCTGATCTCCCTCCCCACTCTTGCTGAAGAGACCTCATTCATTCTAAATGTTGAAGGGAACCAAATGGAAAAAAACACCCTCGAGCCATCAGGCATGTGCAAAAACCCGTTCATGGATTGGAAACCTAGCTGAACCACATCGTGCTCCCTGAGACTAGACAATGGTCCCAGGCTGTTGACAGATGCTCTTGTGGACCCACCATCTTAATGCGACTGTCATGGATGCCAAGGTGCATCCCCCAGATGCCCTCTTCAGGACCAAGGCACTCATTCCAACTGTCGCCTCCTGGCTGCTCACAGCTGAGTCCCTCCCCAGGAATGCCCCCCCCCCTGCCAAGGAGCTGCCTTCTCCAGGGTTATAAATACTCCCGGGGTACAGCCGGTGTCCACTTGTTGCTTGCTGTGGGGTGCAAAGACCTGGCCCCCTGGCCTCCCGGCTCCAGGGCTCCGTGGGGGACCAGCAAATCTCCCACTGCAGCTGCATCACGCTCACTCTCTCCCTTACCCAACACTGCTTCGAGGTGTGGTTCCCAAATTACTCCCTAACATCTTCCCACACACCAACCTCTGACTCCAAGTGTGGTTGCAGGGAGCCCGACCTAAGGCAGGGACTCTCCGTGGTCTACTTTACCGAGAGTTAAGTAGGCCTTCTGTAGATCTCCTGACGTTTCTGCTTCAATGGCCTCTTCAATGTCTTTGTCGATGAGCTGGAGAGATAAACCAAAGGCCAGCTGTTATGCCAGGCTTTGCTTTTGGCTTTGGTACTCTTGGGGTCATTTCTCTACAAAAAGCACGGAATTCTTCCAGATTTGGTCATGTGGCTTTAAGGAGCCTATCCTGCCCCATGCCTTACATGACTGGGGATGATGGCCCCCCTTTGAGTGGGGTCTCTCACGGCTGATGACTTTTGACCTCTAGGGGGTCAGATCTGACCCCAGTGAGGACCACTCCCTTGGCCTGGTATGCTCATCTGTAAAATTGGGAGTGGGAGAACAATGAATCTTTACTGTAACAATAATTCTTTACATCTATATAATAATTTAGTTTCCAAAGTATTCTTAAAATTCTTTTCCTTCCAATTTTCTAGGAGGCTGTGGTGGTAATCATCTTACCCGTACAGTTCTCATCCCCCGTGTCCTGGGACTGGGGACTCAGCCACCCACAGTTTGGGTGAAATAAGAAGTAGAGGCTGTGAAGTTCATGCTAAGGATTTGGTCTAATGTTTCTGATTAGAGTGGGGCTGCATGGGCTGGGAGCCAGGGGCTGACCACGTCAAAATGTCACTTTCCTTCACTTGAGGGTGATTCCAAATGATCCTGTGTTCACCACCGGCTCACATATCACTCTGCACAGCATTCCACGTTAGGTTTCTTTCCAAATATTTGCAGAAGCTGAAGTTCAGAGTAGATGGTGACTATGTTTCATGCAAGGACCACCTGGGCCAAACTCAGGGCAGGCAAATAAAGAGCAAAGAGGGCTCTTTGTCGGGTTTGGGGAAATGCAGTTAAGCATTAAGAATGCTGAAACTTCTTTCTTAGAAATTGTTTTTTGAGGGTATGACACAATGTGGTTCCATAAATAATTGGGGCCTTTGGGGACACACCAGTGGAGTGCATGTAGTTTATTCCCGAAAACATAAGTGGACAAAATAGTCTTTGCAATGCAAGCACAATAGCATGGGGGAGGGGAGGAGGGTTGAGACTTAATGAGGCCCTGGTGCTTGATCTCCTTGTCATGGTTTGACATCTAGAGGTCTGGTGTGGGTAATGGACCTAGACGATGGGGATTGGCTGGGGGGCTTTCAGTCCTGTCCCTTCCTTAGCTGTTCCCAGCCTCTCTTGGGTTTGCTGCGGGAGCTGGTATTTCGAAAGGGACTGGCCTCACTTTCCCACGAACGGGGTTCTTGTTCTGTAGCCTGAGATTGCATTTCAAGAGGACATTTTGTTCACACAGGTCTGTGTTTACTAAAAGAATAATCCTCACATTAAACTGCTTTCTGTTTCTATTGTTAATGCTGGGCCAGAATAGTGCATTAGATTTTCTATTGAATCTCAGTCTTACAACAGATCAAGGCAGAAAAACAGCTGTTCCGGGGAGGTGGGAGAGGGCTTCAGTACCCCAACCTTAGGCTGTATTGCCGGGTTTCTGCTTTCTCCCAGTCTTCTCGTCACACGACTCCAGGGGGCATTGTTCACATTGCCCCCTCTTCTCTACCTCTCTCCTGCCCATATCCCCCTCCTGGGAGCTACCAAGGCACCTTCAGGAACACAAACGGAAAACAATGGACTGGCCCAAGCTATTGTGAATCTCCTTTGCAAATGGTAGGCTTTTCACTGCAGTTACTGGAACACTTAATTCTAAGGGGGCTCTTTAGACAGATCAGGTTTTCTGATCTTAGTACAAAACCCATCGCCGGGGTGGATTCCAGCCTCTAGTTACCAGGTAGTGCTGCCTGTAGGGAGATTACTAGAAGAATAGGGGAGACATTTCTTTCTTTTAAAACCGATTCACCCAAAGAGACAGGATTCCCACAGCAGAACCCTGTGCCCTCTGGCTTTGGCCTCAGTGGTTATAGGGCTAAGGGCTCTGGAACAAGCTTAGGAAGACATAAAGGTGAGGGGACAGGTGTGGTGGGGACACAGTGTGCCTAGGCTTTGGGTATGTGTGCCTACAATTTGTATTGAGCCCTGTGTAGGGAACTCATTTCAGCTTTTTTTTTTTTTTTTAACATTTTATTTATTTATTTGAGAGAGGGCATGAGAAAGAGAGAGAGCACAAGCAGCGGGGAGGAGCAGAGGGAGAGGGAGAAGCAGGCTCTCCACTGAGCAGGGAGACCGATGATGCGGGATTTGATCCCAGGACCCCGTGGTCATGACCTGGGCCAAAGGCAGACGCTCAGTCAACTGAGCCACCCAGGTGCCCATTACTTCAGCTTTATAACTATACGAGCCTTTCATGTTTGGTCAACTCTGGGACTGTGATGTTCTTGTGTGGTGTAGCAGAGAGGGGAAAGTTCTATTGCTTGGCAGGGATTTCTGAGAGCGTCAGTAGATAAGGCTCAGGCTTAGAGGGCAAATAAAGGGCAAAACCCTAAGTTTTCATGCCCAAATAAAAATTCAACTCTATGCCAGGACAGACTATGCCACATAATAGACTCCTGTGATCTCATGCTAGCAGTTGATTGCTTTTAGCCAGAGGCCCATGTGAAAACTTATGAACCAGGGTCTTAAGCTCAGGGTAAACTCACAAAAATCAGTGATAAAGATCAAGACGAATGATGTTCGGGGAAAGCTTTTGGAATGATGAGTAGGTAGTATTTTAGAGCTAGTTTCATGTAAAGAATCATTAAATCAATAAATTATCTTATTGTCCATTTGAGCTTTATTGGACACTGCTGGTTCACATAGGGAGACAACTGACAGTCGTTAGTGTTTACTGAGCACCTGCTGCATGCCAGGTACTAAGCCCTTTACTTCTATTAACTCATTAATTAATTACTAACCCTATGAAGCAGGTACCATTGTTAAGCCTGTTTTACAGTTGGGGAAACTGAGGTGCAGAATCCTTAATAACTTGCCCAAGGTCATATGGCTAGTAGTCTAGTGCAGACCTTTGAAATTTTAACATGCACCAGAATCACCTGGAAGACTTGTTGAAACATACATTGTAGGACCCAAACTCCAGAGAATCTGATTCAGTAGGTCGAGGGTGGGGGCTGAGAATTCTCTCTCTCTTTCCCTCTCTTTAAATAAGAGAATTTTCATTTTTAACATGTTCTCAAGTGATGCTGATGCTGCTGTTTGGGGATTAATTTTGGGGAACAATTGGCCTGGAGAGTATCCTTGCAGGTGGCCAGTGCACACACACACACACACACATACACACGCTCACGTGTATGTGTGTTTCCATAGTGATCACCAACGGCAGCCATCCCCTGAAACTCCACCCATGGCCCCAGCCATGTGGGAAGAGGGTGTAGGTCATGGAGAAGTCTTCCAGCTCAGAGTCTACACAGCTCTAGGAGCAGAGGCCAAGGGAGTGCAGGGTCCGCTGGCTTTGATCATGACTCTGGGCACGATTTGAAAGCAGAGGGCCCTCAAGGCTTATATACAGTACTGATAAAATTCCTAAGCTTTATTGTCTTTTCATCTGCTGGCAATACAGAGGAAACACTATTTCGAGTGAGGAGAGGCCAGCTCCAGCCGAGGGAGAGGCTCGGGCTGGGGAATCTTGCAGTTCTCATCCACTCTCCGCTACCGGCTTGCTGTGTGGTCCTGATAAGTTACAGATGGCGCCTTACTCGTAACAGACTTCCTTGTCCAGCAGTCCTAGGTAACAACAGCTGCTCGGCCTACATTATCGTTACTGTATTGTTGGGGCACTGAAATGAGATACAGGGCACAGAAGTGCTTTGACTAGTTAAAAGCACTTTACAAATAAACAATGGGAGACAAAATATCGGATACTCTCCAAAAGGTTTCTTGCAATTAAAGACTGATGTTCAGGGCAGGGCTCACCACTAAATGCCTTGAAATAACGGCCTCATCTTCTTGGCTTAAAATTATCATTAGATAAAAAATAATTGTATAAAAGTAATTTATACGCGTCTTTGCAGGAGTCTATCTCTGAGGTAGATGACATCTGTTGTGGGAGCGGTAGGCACGTTGTTAGCGCAGTTGTAAATTGGAATAATAATGAGAGAGAACCTTTGTGTGCTTACCACATGCCAGGTGCTATTCCGAGCCTCGTACATGTATCTTATTTAACTCTTGAAAGAACCCTGGCAGGGTGTGATGATAAGGATTATGGTCCCTGTTTTACAAATGAGGACAGAGAGGTTGGGTCACCTGCCAGTGATAGGACCAGGATTTGAACGTGGACGCTGACTCTAGGGCTTTGCTCCTCAACTTGGCTCTCCTCTGCTTTCCTAGTCTCGGTTGGAAAGCAGGGTTTCCCAACCTTGGCACTGCATTTGGGGTTGGATAATTCTTTGTTGTGGTGCATTGTAGGATGTTTAGCATCATCCCTGGCCTCAATCTACTAGATGCTATTAGCCTCCCCAACACCCAAGTGACAACCCCAAATGTTTCCAGACGTTATCGAATATCCCTTGAGGTGGGGGAGAAGCCAAGTCACTTCTGATTAAGCACAACTGTTGTCAAAGACCCCTGTAGTTCCTGATCCCTGATCTTGACTACTTTTGGAAATACACAGTTTTAGCGTGAACTCTCTTACCCTAGCACTGGTTTACTTACAATTTGGTAGGCTTGAAAGGTGGCACGTAATTGCTTGTGGCTTCTCTTGGCCAGGACTTCATTGAAGGCGAGCTCGTCCGTGCCCCAGCGGCCTTCCCCTGCCTTGCGGGCCAAATGCAAACATTTCAAAAAAAAAAAGCCTTTTGCAGAAAGACCGAATATTCCGTTCTGTGACCAGGCCTCACTGGCAGGCAATTATACAATATGCACTGAATAGAAGTCAAACTGATCCACTGAGCACTTTAAGCTTCCACCCACGAGTAAACTTCCCATATTTATTTATATTATTTATGCCCTCCCTTGTTCCAAAATGGATCTGAAGTGGTCAACTCTAGAGTGCAAGAGTAGGAACAATTCTCAGAGGTTCACGAGGACCACGTATATGAAGAAATATTCTAAAGATCATACTTGTTTCTCAAGTAACTCCCATTGTCATGAAATAAAGAAAGGTTTGTTGGAAGTAACGCTAATAAATTTAAAGAGAGAAAAAGAATTTGCTGAGACTGGCACGTCTGTACGCTTACATCATACAGATCTTTGGCATCCTGACCAGCTAGATCTTTGTCCACGTCCTCTCCTTCATCACGATTAGCCTTGAAAAATTGACACATTGTTAGTAACTGGAGCTCCTGCTTGACCACAGAAAACAAAAAGAGAAAGTCCTGGAAAGCTGGGGCTGATCTCAGAGGGGCTGCTCTTTGCTGCCATCTTTAGGGCACAACTAAGAAACAGAGTAGCTTCTGAGACAGCACTTGGGCCTTCTTTCTCGTACAAACCAGGGTCCCTCACAAACCCCAGGGACCTCGAAGCAGGCTGAGAGCAACCCCCTGATGCCCCCTAGAGTGACTCCGTTGGAAAGCTAATAGTCTTCCTTTCAAAATACCACATTTCACCTCTCGGAGCTTCCCGGTATTGAAGAAGCCTGAGACTTGGTCCTGGAAGGTTCTGGAAGTCTAGCCTAAGCCCTTTGTGGCAGGCAGAGTTCTAGGATGACCCCGAGCAGCCCTAGCCCTTGTTACGATCCCCTTCCCTTGAGTGGGGTTAAGACCTGTGAACATAAGCTGTCACTCCCATGACTGTGTTACGTTAAGATACAAAGGAGGTTTTACAGATGTAATTAAGGTCTATAATTAGTTGAGTTGATCAAAAGAGATGTTCCCCTTGGTGGGGCTGATCTTACCTGTAGCAGGGACACCAGGATTTTTTTTAGGTTTCCACTGGTATCAGCTTTGACATCTGATTCAAGGCTCCTGTCAAATACTTTTGAAGGAGAAAAAGGGGTGGGGGGAGAAAGCAGATGATTTCATCTCCCAGAGGTATTTTGAAAGGAACATTCTTTAAAATTTTTTATAAATTTTTTAGAGTATTTATTTATTATTTGAGAGAGCGAGAGAGAGAGAGAGAGAG